TGTAAAGTTCTCATCTCTTTGTGATGTGCTCAGAGCCTGCTGCCAACTCTTTTTCTCTAGCAGAAATTTGTTAATGGAGTCAGATATAGTTATAACTAACACTGTAATTTTAAACTACATTGTAATTAAGGATGAGGGGTTTTGCACCTATCAAATTACTCACTATAATGATCTTTTACCAACTTTCAAGCAGGGCATGTAATGTAGTGGTGGTAACATTTTCTCTGTTCACGTGTTTTTTAACATTCAAGGATACATGTCTGTCAGGGGTCTCGTGTAATATTTGACTTAATGTTAAACATCTCTACAGTGGAAGTTGCCAAGAAGCCAGAACTTTAAATGGTAGCTCATTTCCGTTATTATTTCTTTTTCCCTTAAGACTCATTTAGAGGTATGTTAGAAATTGCCAAGAGGCGTCCAGTTCAGCCACCAATAAAACGTCCCAGTTGTCAACTGAAGTGAAGATTTTGTTGTTGGTGGTGGTTTGGTTGGTTGGTTGGTTGGTCAGCAGAGAGAAGTTTTCTTCTCCCTGTTCATTTTTAGCCATGTATGTCCATGGGACAGAATTGAGGTTGGGAATATTTCTACAATAGTGTCTGCCTGCAGAAGAAGTCAGAGCAGCTGAATGTGTCAGAAACAGGTTGTTTTCTTCTGTTTGTAGGAAGGTTGTAGTCATGATGTAGTTGATTCATGGTATTTGAGCTGTCCTGTTCCTGGTCAAAATACTACTTGGTATGCAAATAAATGTGTGGTCTTATGCACAGGTGAACATATAACAGAGCTGGATGAGATGAAGCTGAGTCTAATTATTGCTGCTCTGAGGAAGTGTAGACTGTTTTGGTATTAGTTATGAATTTTAGGGGGTGTTAAGAGTGTCTTTCAAACCATTGTCTCATCAGCATCTCTAGACTCTGGGCCTTAGACTGCCAGTTCCATCCTCTGTCTCTGACCTTGTTCACAGTGAACCAAGGTGAAGCTGCAATCCCTCGTGTGAAGAGACAAAACATATGCAGTTGATTCTTATCTGTTTGTTCCCATGCAATGAGGTTTGTAATGTTGATAGTCCTAGAAATACATGTAATATTGGTAGTTGCTGTGTTGTCAGTTGCTACTCATATATTTGATGGCCCTCTGCTTCTCACTACTTGTACTGCAGTATTAAGATTATGATTGCAGACACATAAATATAGTAGAAATTCAGAAGTTAAGATGGATATGAACCTGAGTGCTGCCCTCCTGTTTCTTGAATATTAACCAGCTCTGTTGGACCCCTCTTTTCTCTAGGACATGTTCCCATGGGATTCTTCCAAGAAGATCCCCAAAGAGGCCAAAGTTAGCTTTCATCACGACCTTATTCATGGCTTTGCTTCTTCATTGCAAGATCCTGTACTGCACCATCTTGTCACTGCAGCCAAGGCTACCCCCAGCATTCACATCCCCAGACAGTCCTTCCTTGTTAGTACAAGGTCCAGCAGCCCACCTCTACTCAATGGTCTCTCCACTACCTGTATCAAAAAGTTGTCATTAAATCTCTGCAGGAACCTCCTGGACTGTGTGTGCCTGGGTGTGTTGTTCCTCCAGCAGAGATCAGGGTGGCTGAAGTCCCCCATGAGAACCAGGGCCTGTGACTCTGAGGCTCCTTTCAGCTGTCTGTAAAAGACTTCATCCACCTCCTTCTCCTGATCAGGTGTTCTGGAACAAACACCCACAACAATGTCACCCTTGCCTAGTCTGCCCTTTAATCCTAACCCATAAAGTCTCAACTCACTTATCATTCTCCCCGAGACAGAACTCTGTGCATTCCAGGTGTTCTCTTACATAAAGGGCAACTCTACCACCTCACCTTCTTGGCCTGTCTTTTTTAAATATATAATTCAAAACTCTTCTGTGTTTGTAGAGCACTTAGATGACCAGACACATCCCCCTTTCCATGTTGAGTTTTGAGGCCTGAATTTTTACTTAACTTGGACTAAACAGGAGTTTTTATTTTGACTTCCATAATTGAAATATTTCAGAAACATAGAAGCTAGATATAAAACCTCATTACATGAGGTATTTGGTTCTGCTGTAGTTGCTATGCTGCTGTAGCTTCCTCTCTGACCTCTGCAGTTGCAGGTCCGTGTCCTGATTTATAGGTGCTCTCTCTAACAGTGATTTTTTCCTCCTCTTTGACTGTTAGGGTGTAATTCTAATTTGCATTAGAAAATCAAATGTTTTCTGTGTGTTTAAGTAAATGGGTAGGACCTTTGGAAAATTTTTCCTGTAAAGAGACTATTTGGTGGTGGATAATAATACTGTTGGAGGTAATATGGAGGTAATAGTAATTAAGATATAATATACCATGAATTGCTTTTCATTTCTGCCGTTGTGAAGCTAACACACTCTGGATAAATCAGTGTCTGGTGACACTATTAGTTCTTCAAAAATAGTAATGTTAAAATAAAACAAGCACGTGTAATACTTAACACCATGGAAATCGATACCAGTTAGGAACTTGTAATAAAATGTCAACACAAACATGTTAATGAAACAGAAGAGATCTAAAACCCTTTCTAGACTAGTCACACAGTCTCCATAAAAACACTGGTTTTAACACTGCAGAGATCAGTTTTGACTACAAATGATTTTGAAGATCTTCCCTTTCTGCATAGAGTTGATTCTCTCCATATTATCTAGGTTTTAACCTGTTTTCTAATCCAGAGCTGTCATCATAGCCCCGAGACTACTGTTCCTGGGGTAATCCTTGGTGGAGAGAGCGAGAACAGCATCACAGAGTATGGACTGCTTTTGTTTCCAAATGGCTTTTTAAAATAGCTGTGGGGGAACTGTCTCACATTTGGTGTACTCTAAAGTAGTTACCATGAAGTAGTTAACAGTGTCACCTTTTTTCATGCTGTTTGCCATTACAGATAGTAAATTTTTCAAAGATGATTTGTTGAAATCTGCATCTAGCAAAGAAGCATGGTAGAAGAGGAGGTATAAGCTTTATATTGGATTTGTGTCCACCATAGTTTTTAAGAAAATGATTAATTGATTTTTCACTGTTCAGGAATTAAGCCAGCATTTTTAAATATAATTTTAAATATCAAAAGCTGGTTTAGGTATCCCAATTTTTTTATTTAGTAAGGGTTCTAAAATCCAGGACATTCATAAAGCTTTTGAAAATGAATAGTTTTGCTAGTAATGCCTTCTATGGATTGCTGAGGCATGTTGTTCCCTCAATAGAAAGGTTACTAAGTTTGCTACGTCCAGAAGAGAGCAGAAGTTTCAAGCATAAGAAACACTCTTCCTGAAAACCTGTTTTTATTTTGCAACCTTTGAAGTTAGAAAATGTGTATTGTGGACAGGTGGTAGATGTCTCTCTTACTTTGCTGTCACGAATGTATGGGCTTCAACTCCTCCCTTTTCTCCAAGGGGTTTGTGAGCCTTGAGTTGTTGTTTCTCTCCTTCAAGCCTTCCCTCAGAGTTTGTTGGTGCAAATGATATTGTAGTTGTCAAACCTTGTCAGCTGACACTGATTGGAAGTGTTTGTGGAGCTCTGCAGGTCTGGTTGTTAACTTAGGCTGATGGATTTATTTATTTTGAGTTAGTTTTTGTTTAGATCAGCTCTTTACTGTGGTTTGCAACACACACCCATGCTGTACTTGCATGTGAGAGGGGGTGATAGAGGAGTGAGGACAAGCAGCCCATGTCAAGGAGAAAAGCAGCACTACTTAATTCAGGAGCTGATTCTTGAGGTAGTTCAAAGTGTTTGGGTGATGTTACAGCGCTACTCTTCTAGATCCTTTCTTGCATTATACACTTGCAGGCTAAGCACTATTTCTTTTCAGAGCTTCTGAGACATTATTTGGAGACTAAGCCCTGATTTCCAAACCCAAAAGCAAATAGCACAGTCCAGTATCCATTGTTAATGTGAATTTGGTTTTTGCATGCAATAGATTTAACTCCAGAACTCCATAAGCATATCTAGGTGTGAAATATTTATAGAAGAGTATTCTCATGAAGCTTTAAATGTCTGCTGTTCCTAGGGGGTTCAAAAGGTATGTCCCATGATAGCCATTTTCATTCAGTCTGAGCTGTTGGTGGGAACTGGAAGTTGCTGCCTCCTACAGGTGTTTGCTGGTCTGGATGAAATGCAACAAAGTACTTCTGTTCAGGTTTCCAGTTTTGGAGTGCTGCCAAACAATAAAAACTTCTTTTCAGTTTTCAAGCTACACAGCATCAATTTAATAACAGAGCAGGAAAAAACCACATATTGCTCTTTTTGTACATGCATGGATGAGCGTGGGGAAACTCTGTTAAGCAACTGGATGTTTGCTGTGTGTCCTTCTTTTGTACTAATAAAAGAAGCTGCCACTTCATTGTCAGACAACACTGAAGATGCCATTTGTCCTTGAAATTTACTCTAAGTTGTTGTTTGGCACCATTTCCAAAGCAGTGGAACTTTGTAGTGGGGAGGAAGAATAGAGGAGAGAAAAGAACAGCAATCCTATTGCCTTAGAATTAGATTTGCATCAACTTTGGCCAGATGATAAATACTTGTTGTGGTTGTAACTTGCTTTCTTGTTGTGCTGTCTGGAGCAAATCATTAATGTAATTTGTTTACAAAATACTTGAGTCTTCTGTAAGCCCTTTTCATTTATTATGCAGGGTGTGTGTGTGAAAACTGTCTAATGCACTGATACAGCTAGTGGGGAATTTGGCTGAGCAATTCTGTGTAACATGATGAAATGTTTGGACCTACGCTCACCAATGCATTTATTTATTTATTTATTAGATTCTAGATAGAGATTGCTATAATCCATATTAGATTAGAAGGCCAGGAGAAAGATGTTGTCATCTAAAATATAGACAAGTCTATATTTTAATGAAAGTTTGATGTCTTTATTTAAGGAAATCTCTTTTTATAGTGACAGTAGTAGTTCACAGCCTGCTGTGCTCTATTGAAATTTTCACATCAGTAGCAATGGAAGTGATACCGTGAATGGTTTTCTCCCCAGGTGCTGAAGAAGTCTTGCTGCTCGCTAGAAGAACTGACTTGAGAAGGATTTCCCTGGACACGCCAGATTTCACTGACATTATTCTGCAGATAGACAATATCAGACATGCAATTGCCATAGACTATGATCCTGTGGAAGGCTACATCTACTGGACTGATGATGATGTCCGGGCAATTCGTCGGGCCTACCTTGATGGTGCTGGAGCACAAACTCTGGTAACCACAGAAATCAACCATCCAGATGGTATTGCTGTGGATTGGGTGGCGAGGAACCTGTACTGGACTGATACTGGAACAGACCGCATTGAAGTGACCCGGTTGAATGGGACATCAAGAAAGATACTTATCTCAGAAAACCTGGATGAACCTCGGGCCATAGTGCTCAATCCTGTCATGGGGTAAGTTTTGTGTTTATTGATAGCCCTGTGGTAGGCCTTTGGATCCAGTTTATGGTCTCCTCAAACTGAAAACTTATAAATTGGGGTGTGGTGTGTGTGCTGTTTGTCAAATATTGTGGAAATAGCTGATTTTCCCTTGCTTTATCCCTTTAATACTGTGCATATAAAAGATGACTTCTAAACAGAGTATTGTTCAATGTACCTATACGTTGGGTGTTAGGTTGAATTTTCTTTTTTCTACGTCTTCAGTGTTATCCTAACTAGGAAAGAATTGGACCACCACACATTTTCAATAGTTTAATTTATTTAGTGCTCAAACTTTATATTGTCATTACTGATTACAGTTCGAGTTGGCTTGTCTGCTGCTGTTGGGGAAGGAGAAAGAAAGTTCTTTGAAAAGCAACACATATCTTGACACGTTTTTGTCTTGTATGTTGAGAGTGTTAACTGTTTTCCCTCTTTTTTTACAGCTACATGTATTGGACAGACTGGGGTGAAAGTCCAAAGATAGAGTGTGCTTATTTGGATGGCTCAGAAAGGCGAGTTCTGGTCAATACGTCCCTTGGTTGGCCCAATGGCTTGGCACTGGATCTTGAAAAAAACAAGCTTTACTGGGGAGATGCAAAAACAGATAAAATTGAGGTGAGTAATAGAACCATACTTGGGTGCATTTGTAGAAAACAAGTGCTATTCTGATGTGTAGCTTTATTTCTTGGATACATTTATCTTTTTTTGGAGGAGTCTTTTGTTTCATTAATATTAACATGATATTTAGCATAACAAGACATATTTGAGAAGAAAGGAAGTACATTAATGTGGTTCAGAAAACCTCTGCAAGAAATGTTATATTTGTTATGTCTACATTGCTCCAAGTGTAATTTAATTGCTTGAAATCTCAGCTTTTACCTGAGGCTTTTGCAACAAATTGGGACACTCGGGTAAAATCTGTTTAAAAGGTGTTTTGACTTGTCTGTGGTGCTTGGAACTAGTGTCTAAAATTGCTGCATGCATAAGACTTGATGCAAAGTTCATGTACAGGAGCAGGTGGATGTGAGGGCCCTAGGGAGCCATATTTCAGGATGTTAATGATTATATGATATCCAGATTTGTGGACAAGAGGTAATTTTTAATGTACTGCCTGCTTTGTAAACAATGGCATTATGTGCCTGAATTTGAAGAGGGAATTTTTTACTTTGGTCATGGCCTGTGAAATTGATTGAGTTTTTATGTTGTTTGAGGCAGTAGCATATGCAGCATTTTTAGATAAATAATTTAGATAAATACGTTTTTAGGAATGACTGTGCTTTCTAAAGGTTTTGCCCTCAGGAAGGGGGGAAACAAGACTGTCTGCTAGCTCCAGAAATTTAACTTCAGTGTTTGGCAGTAGCTAATACTGGGCTTGATGACTATGAGAGAGGTCCTGTCTCCCCTTACCTTTCAGCCTACAGGATAGGGAACATTGCAGATGCCACCTTTTATATCTGGGACCAAAGCTGTGCCGTGTGTTTCTTGGGGTTAGGTTAGGCAATCCGTTCAGTTTCTCACTTCACTGTAAGGCAACAAAGCCAGTGATTCTGTTTAGTTTAACATCAAAGTTTAAGAAAATCAGAGAACCCAAAGCAAGGACTTTTTATTCACTCTGTTTCTGTTTTGCTTATTATACTTCCTTTTTTTGATTCTCTTCTATTTGCAAAAACCAGAAGAGAGTGGTTCACTTTGTCTTGCAAACAGAAGATACGCTTTAGATGAAGTGAATTGTGACATCTGTAACTAATGTTGATTCCTACATATTGTGTAACCCCATTTTAATTGCTAGCACAAAGAATGAAATCACCATGCTCCTAGCAATGGATTCCACATTTTCTTCGATTAAAACAGGTGTAAATATTCTCATTTTAAGATTCTCCCCTCTATTTTTCCATTTTTGCACTTTTTCTCCTTATGCTTGGAGTTTACTTTTGTTAACTATCACAGACTCCTTCTGAGACTGTATTTACAGATAACTCAGTAGGCCCATTTAGGATCAAAAATAATGGGGAAAAAAAGGTGTGTTTGCTCACTGTTATGAAGAGTGCTGTGAAAGGGTCTGTTGTGATCTGTTCTGGAGTGGCGTGAGTTAAAATGGCGCTGGCATGTTACTAGTAGAAATGGATGCGTATTGCAGAACTTTCATTAGAAAACAAATTTTCATTTTCATTTTGGAATATGTGCCAGTCACATTTGTATATTCTGCTCACTTGGGAAGGAGCTGTATGACTAACAGTCACTGACACAGCTAGATACTGGTCAGTTTGAGGTTGGCTTCTAATAGAGCTTCCTTTTGTTAATACTCCTCTACAAGATGAAAAAAGTGTGCTAAGAAAATATTTTAAAATAGAAGCAATCCAATGGATTGTATTTCACATTTATTACTCCTTTTGCTCTATTTATAGCCTAACAGTCCTTTTCTTCAGGATTCGTGTTTGATAGGTTCTGTCAATACTCTAGATTTTCCCAGTAAACCATAGTTTGTACTACTCTGGTGGCCCCAGTACACACAAAACCTCACTGTAGAGTGTGTGAGGTGGGGCATTTCCACTTTCACTTGGTGCTGAAGTTATTCAGCATAAACTCATTTTCTCATGCTTGTGTTCTTTTGCGAAGAACATGCCGTTTAAGTGGCTTGCCAATGCAGTTGATGTGTCAGTGATTTGTTCTGTATGTATATTGTGTGTATGTTGCATCCACAGCTTGTCAGAAACAAAAATCAGCTGACTGCAAGTCGAGGATGCACATATTTTATACTGTAATTGACCAGGCTGGGTATTGGGATTTTTCTTTTTCCGGGTAAGCACCTAAAACTGCCTGGAAGCATGTTACTGGCTAAATTTAGTTTATGGTAGCACCTAAAACCAGCGTGAGTGGGATAGTAGATAGTAGAACTGTAACTCTATTTTGTAACTCATTAGGTAGCAATAAAAAAAAAGATGATAATATTTTGGGTGGTTTACTCTCTTGCTGCACTACAAGAAGGGGGTTCTTGCTTCACCTAAAATGACATTCAGATTTATGCTGAGTGCTACTGAAGAAGGAAGTCTTCAAACATCTGTTCAGCCCTTATAGAGTTCAGAAAGTTTCACTCTGCAGCTGCACTGTCCTGCAGAAGGCAAAGAAGGTGCTGCCTTGTCTGTGCTGAAGATGGGACCCCAAAGAGCTGTTAGATGGTAATGGAGAGGGACAGTGGCTGAGCTGGTATATTGCTCTGCATTGGAGCAGTTGACTGTTAAGGTGCATTCTTTACTCCCATAGCCTTCTTTTCAGAGCAGTCAGTTTCTCTCGGGCTTTTGCAGAGCTGTCACTTGACAGTTTTCTCATCTAAAAACCACAGCCCCAGATTTCCAGAAGAAATTGGAAATTTTCCAGAGACCAAAGATCTGCAAAATGTGTAAGGTAAATGAGAAAATTCTCATCTCCACTGTTTTCCTCTATCCCATCTACTTTCACCTGCTTCAAAATGTCACTGCTCACTGTGTAGGTATTGCAAAATAGAATAAAGTGAAACCATTATCTCCACTACTGTGCAGAGCACAGTTGATCTTAAAGCCCATCAGGAAAGAAGTAATATTAAGACTGATGTTCGACAATGTAAAAAGTGCACTCTTGAAGGCTTTTCTGTAGCTTTCTGACAAACTGCTTCTAAGTGAGAATTGCTTTCATCACATAGCATGCCTTCAAATGCTTTCCATATAGAACAAAACAAGAGTGAATATAGCTTGTGCATATTTGTGTGTATCTCCTTGGTATTCTGCTCTGGTTTCTAGTGTTTTAGATCTGCGGAGAGTCATCTTACTCTCACTGGGAAGGGGCCTGTTCATATATAAACTTTTTAAGCAGTGACTGAACTTTATACAGCTTGGAAATTTGATAAGCTTAAGACATCTGTCCTATTCTTCCTGGACCTTGGGTTTGAGATATACTGTAAATATCTCTGGTTTGGTTGGTTGGTTTCTTTCGGGGGTGGTTTGGTTTTGTTTTGGTAACACATTTTGACACTACTTTTGGGTGTGCTCTTCCACAGTTAAAAAATATGCTGCAGAGCTGTTGAGGGTACACCAAGCATCATCCTGTACCAGGAGGTTGTGTTTTACTTGTGCGTGTAGCACTTCACGGAGTGAAAACAGCAGTTAACCTTTCCTGTCAAAACCCCTTTTCTAACCTTCCCATCTGCAGCATTCAACTGCAACACAAAGGGCCCAGTCACTTTGCAAGCAGTTTGCATCCTGAAGAAACCACTTGGCAAGGCTTGTCAAAATTTTGCGTGACAGGAGCCTACGGGGCTTTCACTGCAAATTTGGCACCCTGTGGTAACATTATTCCCAGGTTTTAAATTATTTTTTTTTTAATTAGTTTGACAAAGTGTATGGCAATGAAAAATAGATAGCAACTTCTGAGTTGTGTCTGTCAAAATCATACCTTCAGCTACAAGTAAGGGACATGCATTAATCCAGCTGAACTTTGGATTTTACTGACAGAGTTACTTTCCAGGAACAAACAGCAGATTAATAAGGATTACAGGGTTCCAGCAGAGAGAGAAGCAAAGACCCACGTGTATAGTTTCCTAATTCTCCTTAAAAAAAAATTCTGTGGTAAGCCAGGTTTTCCCATGTATTATTTCTTCAGTGTATTTGCTTAAAGTGCCTCAGGTATAATTGCATAATGAGCAATTATGAAATTTTCAGATGCCTGTTATTATGTATGCATTCTACTTAAGCTTGTGCAATATTCTTGGAATAAATGTTCGGCAGACTATCCCTTCTGGCAGCTTCCCCTCCTCTCCCTCCTCCCCTTCCCCTCTGTTGACAAATGTCCTTCATTTGTTTTTTTGTGGAAGTTTCATAATCACATACAGTAATTCTTTGCAAGTTTATGGGGTGTTTAAAGTGCAAGTCAGCACCTGATGACAGTCTTGGAGTTCACTGAAATTTTTTACCAAGGTGCAGTTATGTGGGCTGTCCTTGAAATTTAAGGAAACAAACTTTACAGTTGTTGATGACATTATGCATAAATACTGTAAAAGGACATTTGGAACAGTTTGCACCTTAAATAGGAGTAGGATTTGTAGAACCAGTTGTACTGGGGAAAAAATTAACAATCAAACCAATATAAGGCTGCTAGTTCTAAACAAGTCCAGGTATACTTTCCATATTACATTTTATTTTCCAGTCGTTTGACCTAAAAAATGAAATATTTAGGTCATACATGAGACATTTTCTCATATCCAACACATTTTTGTGTCTGTGTTTCTTTGCATTGGCATTTTTCACCAAAGAATTTTAAAAACCGTGTAGTGTCATAAACTACTTGGAAGATATTGTGGACTGATTTATTGAAACAGGCAAATCTCATAGGGAGAAAAACTAATTTAAACTTATTGCTACATGCTAATTAGATATAAAAATCTCAAAGCATTATTTATCTATAAATATAACTGTATTTCAGAAGACCGAATTTATACTTATATTAACGTAAATAATCCCCACACTGCATGTTTCTATAGTAATATATATGAGAACAGAAAAGTTAAATGGATATAGAAATAAAAAATACAGGATCCCTGAGACTGAAAGAATGGATCTAAGATCTTAAATTGTTGTAAGCAGGCA